AAATAAGCATGACCGAGTGAGAGTCCAAAAATATGATCAAATCACATAAACTTGAAAGAAGACACACACGACACTTTACGACATGCAAACAAATAGGAAAGAACGAAGGAAAAAAGAAGAAAAACAAAGAAAACCAAAACACACATAAGACGTGAACTTTCATCGAACACGTGACGGGCGCGACTTCGGCACCAAATTCCAAGCACATACGGGACCCAATCACAAATCCAAACACATCCCTAAAAATTACACTCCATGGACTTTACAACCATCCAAGCCACACATCAAACTAATTAACGAAACGCAAGAACGACTCCAATGAAAATGGACCAAAAGTGTGAAAAACATGTGAAGAAAAACCATAGTAATGCACAATTCATGGAAATTGGTGATGCAAAACATGTTTAAGAACAATAGAAACAGCCAAAGAATGCACAAAACAACAATATAATGAATCAATGAGAGAAACAAATTAAAAAAAAAAAAGAAACAGTAAAAAAAAGAACAAAAAATTGAAACTGTGAATTACCTAAAAATGTGAAGCCAAGAGTTGAAACTTCAGATCAAGAACCGTGTTAAAGGTGTCGAATTGAGGCAAAAGTTAATGGGAAGTGAATAATATTGATGAAAGAAAAGAAAGAAAGGAAGAAGGAGAGAAGAAGATTGAATCGCGCGGAAAAAAAATGAAACAGGGCCGCTTTAAAAGGAATTGTCGCTCGAGCGAGACCTGGGCGAAACTTGAGCGACATCCATTCTGCTTTTGTCGCTCGAGTGAAGTCCATGCGAAACTTGAGTAAAAATCAAATGTCAAAAATAGCACCAAAAATTTGAAATTTAAAAAAATAGCACAATTTTTAGAAAATAACAAAAATAGCTCCAAAAACGTTTATTTTTGTTTTCATTTTGAATTTTTGTTATATCAAAACAATCCAAAAATCGAAGATGAAGCACGTACCCAAATATATAGACGATGCGAACAATAAGCACAAAATTACAAACTCAACAATCAGAACACATAGACAATTTTAAGTTCACACATAGTTCAAAATCCCGTGGAGTAAATTGTATACAGAATATCAACGTGAAATGTGCCACGTAGTCCGTGCAAGTTAGACTCAAAATCTTAAATTAGGTGACTCCCAAACCAGACGACCATAGGGTACCAGGTTAAAACCCCTAAGGCTTAATTGTTTGAGTCAAATAGGCCCCAAAGATAGACATAAGTTCAGAGAATAACATAGAAAATGGGGAAAGACAGAATTGAGTAGGTTACACTCGTCACAGATCAAGTCAAATGTACAAACAACCCCAATCACAGAAGAATACCATCCCAAGTCTCATCCATGTGGTCAAGACTCACCTACAGGACTACAGTGTATGCTGTGCGAAAATGCATGACGAGCCATATACCAAGAACTCCACAGAAAATGAGAACTACGATGGAACCTCAGACTCATACATATGATGAAAGATAGAGTTTGATCCTAAATGCAAACGTCATAAAGTCACACAAGAGGCACACAAAAAGAAAATCCCTTTATTTTATTTATTTATTTATTTATTTTTTTGTAAAACACACAAATTTAGTAAACAAAATAAAACTAAAAGACGAACCAATAATCAAAATGCACCACACACACATTGATCACATGCAATATATGAAGTGAATAAGTGCAGATGTGATAAATGCATGAATAGGCATGAATCCATGATCAGATAGGCAAATAAATACCAACAGCCATCCGAAGCGACTCAAACCTCAACCCATCTAGTGGTTTCGTAAGTAGATTGGCCAATTGGTTGTCAGTAGAGACATGATCTTGGGAGACAACATGTGTTTCAACAAGTTCACGAATAAAATGATGTCGTATGTCAATATGTTTCATTCGAGAATGTTGAATAGGATTCTTAGAGATATTTATAGCACTGGTATTGTCACAGAAAACAGTCATGATCCTTTGATTAATCCCATAATCACTCAGCATCTGCTTCATCCAGAGAAGCTGAGTGCAGTAACTCCCAGCTGCTATGTATTCGGCCTTTGCCGTGGATAGGGATATGAAATTTTGTTTCTTACTTAACCAGGCTACGAGATTGCTACCCGTGTAGAAACAGCCCCTAGACGTACTTTTTCTATCATCTGCATTCCGAGCCCAATCGGCATCAGAGTAGCCAGCCAAATCAAGATTAGAATCTCTAGAATAGAAAATGCCTAGATCAAAGGTACCACTCACATATATAATGATGCGTCTAACCGAGCTTAAGTGTGATTCTTTGGGATCTGCCTGAAATCGAGCACACACTCCAACACTGAAAGCAATGTTAGGTCTAGTTGCTGTGAGATAGAGAAGACTACCTATCATACTTCGTTATAGTGAAGGATCTACACTCTTACCTGAAGGATCACGACCTAACTTCAAGCTAGTACTCATAGGTGTCCTAGTATGCTTCTTACTGTCTAACCCAAAGCGCTTAACTAAATCCTTTGCATACTTAGACTGTGAAATAAACAACCCATCCTCAGTCTGTTTCACCTGAAGTCCACGGAAGTAACTCAACTCACCAACCATACTAATCTCAAATTCTTACTTCAAACACTCGGCGAACTCATACGCTAGAGACTCAATGGGAGAACCAAAAATGATGTCATCGATGTAAATTTGGGCAATAGTGATAGTTTCTTCAATATGTCGAATAAATAAGGTCCTATCAGCACTACCTCGAGAGAACCCATGTTCCTCAAGATATGACGTAAGTCTCTCATACCAAGCTCTAGGAGCTTGTTTCAGACCATAGAGTGCTTTGTGGAGTTTGCAGACATAGTGGGGAAACTTTGGATCAACAAATCCATTTGGTTGTTCAACATAGACTTCTTCTTGAAGAAGTCCATTCAAGAAGGCACTCTTAACGTCCATTTGATGAAGCTTGAACCCTAGGGTACAGGGAACAGCAAGCAGAATCCGAATTGACTCAAGTCGTGCAATAGGAGCAAAAGTCTCATCAAAATCAATTCCCTCAACTTGAGTATAACCCTGAGCAACTAATCGGCCTTATTTCTGGTTATAGTACCTTGGTCATCTGTCTTGTTCTTAAAGATCCACTTAGTACCAATAACATTACAGTTTTCAGGTTTAGGAACTAAAATCCACACATTATTTCTAGCAAATTGATTTAGTTCCTCATGCATCGCATTCACCCAACACTCATCACTAAAAGCTTCTTCGACTTTCTTGGGCTCAATACGAAGCCTCATACCTTCATTTAGATTGTTCAGTACCCTCTTATGAAGCCTTATACCTTCATCTAGATCCCCAATGATATTGTCCTTAGGATTATTGGACTTGACCCTAGACGATGGTTCCTTAGGATTTTTGTCTCGATCTTGTGGATGTGTTTCCTTTTCAGGTGTTTCAGGTATTCTAAGAGATGATTCAGACACAGGTGGTTCAGTAGGATCACTAGACCTTATAAGATCACTATTTCTATCATCCATCCTATCACAATTTTCAACATTCTCCCCCTCACTCACAGTATCATCTATCACAACATTGACTGACTCCATCACAACACGAGTACGTGAGTTATATACTCGAAATGCTTGGCTATTTCTAGAGTACCCTAAGAAAATTCCTTCGTCACTCTTAGATTCAAACTTACTCAAGTTCTCTCTATCACATAAAATGTAGCACTTACTCTCAAACACACGAAAGTATTTAACAATAGGCTTTTTACCCTTTAGAATCTCGTATGGAGTCTGATCGATTTTGGGTCTAAGGTAGACTCTATTGATTATGTGGCATGCAATATTAACAGCTTCTCCAAAAAATGTAAGGCTAGTCCCTTACCATGAAGCTTGGCTCTAGCCATGTCCTGAAGAACACGATTCTTCCTTTCAACCACCTCATTTTGTTGAGGAGTGATAGGGGAAGAGAACTCATGTAATATCCTTTCATTTATGCAGAAACTCTCAAAATTAAAATTTTCAAACTCTTTTCCATGATCACTACGTATTCTGGACACTTTGAGATTGAGTTCATTACTAAGTCGTTTACACAAAAATTTTATAAGATCACATGCATCAGATTTTTCCCTAAGCAATTCTATCCATGTGAACCTCAAGAAATCATCTACCACAACCAAAATACACCGCTTACCTCCTAGACTCTCAGTCCTAGATGGTCCCATTAAATCCATGTGTATCAATTCCAGGGGTCTTTTGGTCAGAATTTTAGAAGTCTTTTTATGGCTTTCCTTAAGTTGTTTACCTAGTTGACATGGTCCACACACAACATTTTCACTAGGACCTATTTTAGGCAAACCATCTACAACTCCTTTTTAGCCAGCTGTACTAGACTCTTATAGTTTAAATGACCCAATCTTTTGTGCCAGAGTTCACTCACATCAATTTTTGCACTCCTACACACATAGTTAGAATTAGATAGGACTCCATAACAGTTATCAGACGTTCTAACCCCTTCAAGGACCATCCCATCGGATGAATCATACACGGTACATCTCTTTTGCACAAAACTAACCTCAAAATCAGCATCACAAATCTGACTAATACTTAACAAGTTTGACTTTAAACCTCCACATAAAGCACATTTGAAATCACAGGTAATCCATGCATTTGTACAGTACCTTTGCCAAGAATAGGTACAGAACCCCCATCTCCAAAGGTAACCATACCCCCATTGCATTCATCAAGAGTAGTGAATAAAGCCTTGTTACCACATATATGCCTAGAACATGCACTATCAAGGTACCACATATTGTAATTTTGGGCTTTTAATACAACATGAGCAACATAACAATTTACCTGACCTGAATGTCCAGCTAGATCCCCCTATTTAACCTAAATTTTTCGACGAGGTACTCCTAGTTAGCTTAGTAAGCATCTCAATCAAATGACTAACCTGATTAGATAGAAAGCTAACTTGACTAGGAATATTCCGATTTCTACGCTCATTGCCTAACTTATAACATCTAGGCCTAGTGTGTCATAGAGCTTCACAGTGGTGACAGGTGGGAATGAACCTAGGCTCAAAGGTACGTGTCTGTGGGTATCTGGGCATGATATTTCTACCTGATTGATGACTCTGTTCCCTCGGAACATTCTTACCCTTATTTGGATTGCTGACAACGTTAGACTTCTTAGAGACAGAAACAAATACAGTCTTAGATGGACCAGCAACATGTGTATTATCCTCAACATATCCTAGACCTTTCCTATCTCCCGCAGGCCTATTCATTCCTAAAATATCATTCAATTTCTTAGTCCCACTTATGAAAGTTTGAAGATGAGCATTAGATTTCTCCAATTCACTAGTCAATGTCTTAACCTTGTCTTCTAACTTCTTATTGACACATTTTAATTCACTAACACTCTTAAGTGAATTCTGAAGATTACTAGCAAGTCTTTCTTTTTCTCTTTCAAGTTCATCAACCTTTTTGAGTAGGACTTTATTGACCTTTTTGATTTTAAGACTCTCCTTGAACAAGAGTTGATAGGCCTCTTGTATGTCTATATCTTCCTCATCCTCATTACTAGAATTATCGTTGTGAAGTTCTTCCTCAACCTTGTCACTCTCCTTATCAGATTCACTCTTAACAGTCGACACAAATGCCATATAGTTCCCTTCATCTTCACTACTAGATGATTCCTGCCTATCACTAGACTTAGATTCGTTATCTGTAAGTGAAACAACTAAGGCCTTACCTTTCCCTTTTCTTTGATTCTCCTTATAACTAGGACACTCATTCCTATAGTGACCTATACCTTAACATTCATGGCACCTAACCAAACGTGGTTTACCACTAGAACCTTTATTGTTGAACCTTTCAGTTTTTTCCTTTGAGAATCTGCTAGGGGCTCCACTTTTTCTATCCTGAGGCTTTCTCTTATTCTTGAGAACCTTTTGAAATTTCTTAACAAAATTTGCAATTTCATCATCCCTAAGAGACTCAGTATCAGAAGATTCATCCTCTTTGATGGATTTTAAAGCAATGGACTTTCCTTTCTTAGGTTATGTGACAGTGAGTTCATAAGTTTGTAAGGATCCTACAAGTTCTTCAATCTTAACTTCATCTAGATCCTTACTTTCTTCAATGGCGGTAACTTTAGGCCTAAATCTCTCGGGCAAGGACCTAAGTACTTTTCTAACAATTTTAGACTCGGAAATTCTCTCGCCTAGATTGAAACTAGAATTAACAATATCATCTAGTTTTGCATAAAATTCATCAAAGGTTTCGTCATCCTTCATCCTCACTTCTTCAAACCTAGAAGCTAGAATTTGTAATTTCGAGTTCTTTACCATTTTAGTTCCCTCATGTGTAGTTTCAAGAATGTCCCAAACCTCTTTAACAGTTTTGCACATTGACACTCTCCTAAACTCTTCGGGAGACACGGCTATAAACAAGGCATGAAATCCCTTGCTATTCCAATTACACTCAGCTATCTCATCCTTAGTCCATAATGATATATCAGTAAGATTAACAGTTCCTGATATGGTAGTAGAGGGAGGTTTCCAGCCATTTTGCACACTCACCCAAACATGCTCATCTAGAGACTTAAGAAACGCACGCATTCTAACCTTCCAGTAAGCATAATTTTCGTCAAAATACGGAGGTACAGAAAGTGATTGACTCATCTAGATAACTATGGGCCAGGACTCGAGATTTGGCTCTGATACCACTTGAAAAGCCTATAGTTCGACCCAAACAACACCTAGAGGGGGGATGAATAGGTGTTTATGCGGATTTTAACAATTCAATCAACTTATACAACAAGTCACATAAATTAAACTTTGTCCAAATTCATTCACATGATTTAACTACCTATGTTGAATTTCCAATTGAATTAAAAATGACAGAATGCAATAAATAACTCAACAAATTGTTGACGGAGAAAACCTAACTGGGTAAAAACTCTGGGCACAAGCCAGAAACGATTCACTAAAGAAGATTTCAACTTACAGTACGCTAGACATGACTGTATCTAACAACACTCTGACCTTCTTACTATATCAACCAAAGCTCTTCTGGATTCTGCAGATCTGCGTCAAAATCCCAGCCTTGTTCTTCTTCTATTTCCCGTGAATCAGCAAGAACTCCAGTTCTTCAATCAATCTCCTTCCTGGATCTTCAATCAATAGATCTTCTGGAAGTAGTGAGGATTTTTGAAAGGTGTTTTGTTTTAAGAGGTGTTTGATGTTTTTCTTTAATAAGACATATGATGAAAAGAAGGAATTATGAGGTTGATCCTTTGGTTGAGAGGAAAAATCTTTCAATTGTGTTTTTCCAAAGGTTGTGTATGAAAAAGGGACTTTTGAATATATATGAGGTCGTTTTTGGTAGTATGGAAAGTCTAAAAATTGCAAGGAAGGAAAATTACCAAAAGTCGGATAGCACTGTCGCTCGAGCGAAGTGCCAGGGAAACTCTAGCGACGCACTTTCGCTCGAGCGAAGCAATGGTGAAACTCTAGCGAGATAGGTTCTATTATTTAGGCTCGAGCGAGGTCAGGGCAAAACTCTAGCGTGATCTTGCGTCGTTTTCATCTTCAAGGCACCCAACTTTACCCTAGACCTATACCATAATTTTTACTAAATTGCAACACAAGTCCCTAAACTTTTAGACCTTTACAAATTAGTCCTTAACTTTACAAACTTGACAAATTGATCCTTTTGGTCACAGATTGCCAATTACAACATTTTCCCAACAGGGCCTATACAACATAAATCGGGTCTAGTTAAACTCACCAAATACTAATGACAATAACGTGAATAATCGCAAATCAAATTTCTCTTAGCTAGAATTTGCAAAGAGCTTATCATATATCATAGATGTTAATAATAAAATGAAAATGTAGATAACGTGGCATATGTACTGATTGTAATGATAATAATGTCATGAAATGCTAGCAGTGATGTGGCATGCATACTTTACAGCAATAGCATATAATGTATATGCTAACAGTAATGTGTAATGCTACTAGGATACTAGGATCACATTAGTCTTCCAAGTCCAAGTACGAATATTCAAATAATGTGTGGACTTTTGGGCAGACGTAAGACTCTGAATATAATCAACTGTAATGAAGTTGAATATAAACAGTTATAATGAAGTTGATGCACAAACAAGAATTTGAATATAAACAATTGTGATGAAGCCGATGCAGAGGCGAGATTCTGCATTGAATATAAACAGTTATAATGAAGTTGATGCACAAACAAGAATTTGAATATAAACAATTTGTAGTGAAGTTGATGCGAGGTGAGAAAGACAAGACTCTAAACTGAATACAAACAGTTGTGATGAAGTCGATGCAGAGACGAGACGAGATTCTGCACTAAATATAGATAGCAATGATGAAGCTAATGTAGAGGCAAGACTCTGAACTGAATATAAACAATTGTGATGAAGCCGATGCAGAGGCGAGATTCTGCATTGAATATAAACAGTTGCGATAAAGTTGATGAGAAGTAAGATATTGAACTGAATATAAACACCCTTGCATGGGGTGAATGGTTCATCCATGGAAGGTATCATCTTCGAAGGAATTCAAGGTGGGCCTTCTGTGGGGTACTTCACACCTTTTCTTTAGAAGTAGATATCTTCGCATGAGGTTGACGTATCCATGTCAAGGGCTTTTTCCATAGTGGATAGATCATCAATGAAAGGCATATCTTTCAAGAAAATTCGTTGGCCTTAATTTTTGCATGGACATGTAGCCAACAAAATTTCTACCATTTCTTCTCCAAGCAAGCATCACCTGTACATTAAAACACACAGTTAAGGTGCAAAGGTCACTAGTCGAGAAAAAGGTCCGATAATCGTTTGCACTCCGATTATTCAATCTAATTGAATAATCAATTCCAAGTTAGCATATATGAGACCTCTTTCGTCATGCACATGCCACGTAATTTATAGATATAACTATAACTATTAGACATTTAGCCCCCGTTTGGCCCTATTATTTGGCATTATAATTTTTGCAATTGTTTTTTTTGAAGAATGAGTAGTTGAAAAGGAAGAAAAAAGTTTCCGGTTTATGTTAAATATTATTTTATTAAAAAATGTTGGGTTGAAAAGAAGAAGAAAAAAATGTATTATAATTTTAATGGAGCCAAAGGGGATTTACTTTGATCAGTTTTCAATGCATGCTTTGAACTTAATTTGTAACAATTTGAATTTCTTGTTAAACACTTTTGAGATATTCTACATGTAACAATGCAGCAAGTGGCCAAGATAAGAGTACATTGAAGCTATAATATATGTTAAAGTTACATTGCTAGTCCAAGTAAAACAATTGAAATGCAACGATCATTTCAAGAAGTCCTTGAACATATAAATTTGCATTGAAGAAGAAACTTGAGACAATAGATTTGAGCATGCTTATATTTTGCATGCCTCTATCATGCATTCTACACATACATGGTTTCAACCGCTATTTTTATGTATCAAGGAAGTTCTGCTTTAATTCTTGTAGGAATGCATTTACAAAAATCGGCATGTGTTCGAATTCTCCATCATTGGCCTTTATAAAATAAAAAATGATAATAAAGAAAAAAAAATCTTTTACCAGTAATTAGAATTTTTTGTTAGATATTGGTATAAACTCAACTTTTCCAATAACTAGATACTAAGCATATTTAATGACAAATATGCCTTTAGTCAACCCTACAAAGTTACAACTATTCGATCAAAAGTACAAATTGCAAGTGAATTGGAGCGTTCAAGTAATAGAGTGGACTTGTGAATCCAAGTTATCGATCCCTCAAGGAGTGTTTCTTTTAATTATAGAATAGTTGACACGGATTCTAACGATAAAGCACACAATTTGAATAGTTTAACGTGAAAGTAAAAAGAAAATAATTGTAAAGATCAATTAAACTAGCAATTATGAAAGTGATGGAAATTTGGATGAAAAACGAGTCGGAATTTATGATTCACTTAAGTACCATTTCATTGATATCTAAATAAGTCGAAAATGCAAATCGCTCACTTACATTAATAGATCCAAATTTTCAATTTTATTTTATTACATCTCTTGGGCCAAATTGATTGTAATTGATTAGTTCAACCTGCTATATCTCTATGTTGATTAAAAACCAAAAAAATAACATTAAATCATTGTGAAAGTAGTTTAATGAGTTGCTTGGGATTAGAAGTACATGGCTTAATTGTACAAATCACCTAACCCAATCATTTATTGGCTAAACACATGAAGAAAATAAAAACACAATAATAAATGCACAAGAATATGAGTGATTTTAACATTAAGCCCATGTTTGATTCCATTATTTTCAAAAATACATTTTTCTCTCTTCTTTTCAACTACACATTATTCAAAAAAAATAATTTTACATTTAAATCCAAAACTTTTTCTTATTTTTAATCACAAATTCTCCATTAATCTATTATTCTAAAATGCATTCTTAGCTAAAAATGGGACTCAAATAGGACATCGACATTAATGAAACTAGGTCAAGTTATATCATAAATCCCAACATTCAATAGTTAACTCATTATAATATAAAGGCACAAAAGAGAAAAAGTGAAGAAATCCATTACAATGTAGAAGACACAGTAGAAAAAATAATCAAAACATTCATGCTAAAGTGTGAGAATCATTACTATAATGGTTAACATATTGCCACGTAGCGCTCTATTATTAGACTGTTTAAAAAACAAACATATTTTTCATCAAATCATTTTTCACCATATAGGATTCTATCAACCCTTATGTCATAATTTTCTGGCAAAGAAGCTTAATTCAAATCAAATAAATGATGTAACATGTTCCTTGGATGGGCTATTGAGTCGATGAGATGGTAGGATTTTGATTTTTACTTCACAACTTTGCACTTCGGTAGGTATATTCTCGTTCTTCTTTGCCTCTTTTCTTCTCTTGAATGAGTTGTGAATGTCGTGTAATGAGTTCTGCCCGAAATGTGGCTGAAAAATGGTATTTAAAGGATCAAAATTCGTTCCAAGCAAAATTACACAAGAGTTCCCGAGTTTTTCATGAAAATTAGCATAATTGCCCAGCCTGAAGAACTGGGTGACTGCCTAGCTTTAATTAGGGGATCGCCCAATTGAAGCTAGGACTTGCTGTAAATGGGTGGGCCAAGCACCCCAATCTAGGCGAGCTATCCTCAAATTGTAGCTTGAATTCTCCACTTAGAGTTGGACAAAACTCTTGAATCGAACTGAACCGAACCAAGCAATCATTTTTAAGTTAAATACCCGAACGAATATCTTAATCGAGAATCAATGGGTTCGGTTCGATTCTCGATTTTAGATTAATAATCGAAGAACTGAATAAGAATTGAATCTCCCTAATTTTTTTAATTAATTCATTTTAATAAGTCAAATTATTTTATTTTTCTAAATAAATTTGCTTATTAGTTAATTTAACTCAAACCCAAAAATTTGATTTTCCTATTTCTAATTTTCAGTTCAAAGTCAACTTAATCAAATTGATTTAAGTTTTATCCAAATCTATTATTCTATCATAGTGTCATTTCTATCGTTCTAGAAAAATTGAATTGAAACTCGAAAACGTCTCTCTTAATTATTGTGAGCTCGCTATTTTCCTCTTCCTGTAATTTTAATAATTTTAATAATCAAGTTTATGAAGAACTCAGTAAAGAGAGACGCAAAAGACACATAAAATTAGACTATGTTATTTTGTAAGAGCTAAAATTGAACATATCATTAGTTGAATTAATGTAACTTTGTAAATATTAAAAAATTTAATTATAATACGAAACCTGATAATCGAATGGAACTGAACCCGAACGATTTCATAATTAAATTTGGACCTGATAATTCCACTTACTAAATACCTAAAATTTCGAGTTGGTTTCGGTTCAATTCCAAACCGAACAGAATCAGACCATATCCAGCCCTACTTCCATTAATTGTATGCCTTGTTCATTAAGTTTCATCTTACATATTTTGGTCCTCAAAATTTGACTTTCATTTTAATCATGCCATTCATAAATTGTATTTGAGGCCCCTCAAATTTAGATAATTTTGCAATTTGGTCCCCAAGTTCATGATTTTGAGCGATTTTGGTCCCTTTTCTCTTTGTTCTGCCTTGTTGTTTTTCTCCTTTTGGGGTTTTGACCAACAAAACTCATAATTACACAATTGCGAAAATTCACCCAATTCAATCAATAATTAACTTGTTAAAGTATCTGATAAGTGTGTAAAACACTTATCAACAACCATAGCCCCTCTATACTCCATAGGGTACCCAGGGCAAGCACCTGATTGGGAAGCTTGTTGTGTAGTTTCATAAAGAAAGAAAAGTGTGTGAACCTTAGTGGATCCAAATTCCAAACTAGCGTCATGAACTTAACCGACCATTTTATATCTATCAATAAAGTAGGAATGATGAAGAAGGAAATACACTTTCTGAAAGAATAATAGCAACTCTTCACTAGTTAACAGATTAAAAAAATTTAAGTAGATCTTCGTAAGTAATATGACAACTTCCGAGAAATTAAAGTAAATGGAAAGTACTTGATAGCATCGTACAACGAGCCTCGAGGAGGAATTCTTGCGGAGCAGTAGGATGTATCAAAGGATTGGGCCATCACCCTCGTTTCCTACAGAGAAAAGTAATCAAGATCCAAATTTGAGGTCTATTCGAGAGTGGAACTTTGTAGAATGGCAGGCTGTCACGATTCAATGATAGAGTAGGCTATCCGAGTTGTTGAGTTCTCAGGGATCGACTTTTAGGCTTGATACTTGATTGGAGAAGTGAACAAGTGACTCAATCCTTTAGTTGAGACGAGGAAGGATGTAGTAATCATCGAAATGTTGCAAGAAGTTGAAAGTAAGCATAGATTTGGAGATTCTTGAATAGGAAAATCTTTCGAATTACTTAATTCATGAATAGGCAAGAGACAACCTGACGAATTAAAATATCTTAGTAGCTAGAGAAAATGAAGGCAAAAATTATTCCCATAATAACTACGAGCAAAATAGAAGCAACATAAATTGTGAAAACAGGGTTGTAGGAGAGTAATACGAACGTCCAAATCAAAAGTGAAAGGAGCCCGCTTACCCATTCCCTGTTTCCTCCCATTGCTAAGAGCCTCACCCTCTTGACTTGATATGTTAAGAAGACTACAATAAATATTTTCTTTTTTATTGATTAAAAAAAAAAAATTATAACTCCCCTAACTTTTCATTTCCTTTTAGTAAGCAACTGAACTGCTTCATTTTCCATCATATGATCCCTCTTATTTTATAGGAAGCATAATAAGCAAAGTTAGTAAGATCCCCTGCTATTTAGCTTCGACATCGATCCACCATTGAATAAAGCGAATTAGTGAAGCATGGAAGCTAATATTGGAATAGCATGTATGTATTCAACACTTGTAGAAGACCTATGTCCAAACACTAGAACACATGTTTGACGTGTTGGGCCATGACAAATATTTTCAAGAAATGGTTCAGATATGTATTTCAAACACTATCATATCGATTAATTATAGTTCTAACATAAGTGGAATATGTCCTGTCACATGATGGATAAGTAAAGGCCCATTTTATGAATTTTGGAAATTATAAAGGAAAAATGTTTTTAATTACTAGTAAAAATGTCAGAATAATTTATGAGAAAATCTAGAACTTCATGTCAAATTTTCTCTACGTTTACAATGTTCATTCTCCTTTCTCGAGCAGGATTAAAATAGATAATAGCCCAAAGTTATCTTGATCTGCTTCTCTAATTCAAAAGCTTCACTCGCAAAAATTAAAGTTAAAGTTAATACTTTCTTGAAAATTGACTTGTCTAAAATAATCCTATCTAGTGATCGATTTTTGGTGGTCCTTCAAAGCGAATATAATTATACATAACTCCGTAGAAAGGATTTTTGCCTTGGGATTGCTTTAGATATATTGTATTTCTTCCATGCACGAGTTGAAAATGTGGTACATCGAAACTATACAACGAGTATAATCCATGAATTCCATGTCTTGCAATTGCGTTATCTCTACCAATCAACCTTGTGGTAAAATGAGGACGTATTCTGTTTGGATTATTGATCCGAACCTATAAAAAGATATGAATCAACATTAAATAATTGACTCGCCATTTTTTTTTATCTAATTAAGTCAAAATTTAGATTAATAATAAAGATAATTATTATAAATCATACTTGTATTTCAGCATAAGTGGTGTTAGTCAATTTGTTGTCAAACGACCTCCCGGACAATGATGTAACCTTAGTTTTATTTATTATCAATCGGCCTTGACCATATGATTGAATTATATGTCGACACTATCATTGAGACAACCCAACCCACATCTTTATGGATCGTTAGAAGCAACCTATTTTAATAGTGTTGCTCATGGTTCGTCTCATTTACTTGGAGGACTATGGTATTCATTTGGAGCCCATTACCTTGTGTTGAGCCTTGTTTGGACCACTTAGTTTACCTAACTTAACTTACCATTTTTGGTCACTCATTTTGGCTTATAACCTACGGCTCCACCTATGCCTCCATTATGAAGAACATTCCATCTCTTTCTATGACTTTGATTCTCGGCCTCTTTCTTTCGTATAACCTGTGTGGTTTCTCTTGGGCTATACATTGTTCTTCATCTTGGCCAACTCTTTGTGAGTATATCTATAGCAACCGGAGGTGGGAAGGAAGGAGGTGGAAGTTGGGTGTTGTCTCCATCGAGGTTGTGTTGATATATGGTGGAAACTGAGCCCGGTATCACCTTGATTATTGTTGGAATTTCACCTTTCAACTGGTATCAGAGCGTGGGTCATCTTCTCCGGCAAAAAATCGACCATAACCGACGGAGGGTTCGAGATTCTCAAAAGGGGGCCGAACCTGCAACTGCTTATTCCGACCAAACACGATCTCCATTGGACGAATGGAGGTCGGACCCATAACTAGCAGGTGGAGGCGCCTCCAGTGGTGAGGCGCGTGGCGGCGGCGACCGACAACGGCAACGCGTAGAGGACCTCCTGGGTGATTTTTTCGTGCCATTTCAATTATTTTAATTTTTTGAACGTACTAATGTGTTTGGTTTAGTGTTTCAGGTTGTGTAGAAAATTTTGGACGATTTTGCCCCGATTACAATCTGCATTTGTTGCTGAATGAACTGTTATATTCGCTGAACCTTTAGGGCGAGTAGTGGTGGCCTTAAAGCAGCAAATTCGCATCTCTCCACGTTACGGATTCAGATAGGTTCGCTCTGGCAAATTGGCTGAAACCTTTATATTTTTGCACTAGCAGATCATTGTGTGGGGGTGATCATTAGGTTTGGGGGTTGCCATTGCTTGTGCTAAAATTAGGGTTACGTGCTCTTGATTATTTGATTGAGTATTTGTCTTTTAGTTAAATCAGTATTTGAGCCTCAGTGACATAGCTGTCGTGAAACTAATTATCTGTTAGACGTAATTTTTTCTGTTGCATTGTTATTTCCACTGCTTATCTATTCCATTAGAATTACCGTGACCTTACTCGTTTTCAAACATTCTCTTGATCTAAGACCCCGAGTCTTACGAAACTCTGGAAATCATGAACGTCGTATATTATCTGAAACCCTAAGACTACTTTGTGTGGTTTGATTGTGTTTTTTGTGCACTCTTTAACTATTGTGTAAAGATGACAACTCATAACTTTGATTTGGGGATTTTTAATGGAAAGGGTGATTTTGCTATTTGGCAACAAAAAATGAAGGGTATTTTAGTCCAACAAAAAATTTCAAAGGCCATTGAAGGCAATTTTTCAACTGATTTTTCACAAGAACAAAGAGAAGAAGCCGGTGAGCTTGCTTATACCTCAATCATTTTACACTTATCTGACGCCGTTTTAAGAAAGGTGGGTAAACTGAAAACCACTAAAGAACTTTGGAAAAAATTGGAAAACTTATATTTGTTTAAGTCTACGCCGAATAAACTTTACTTACTCGAACGTTTTTTCAGTTTTAAAATGGATCCTTCAAAGGATCTCGATGACAATTTTGATGTGTTTAACAAATTGGTGCAAGATATAGTTAATTGTGATGAGACTGTGTTCAAAACTTATAAGGGTATAATTTTGCTCAATGCAATTCCTGATTCCTGTAAGGAAGTTAAGAACGTCATTAAGTATGGTAGAGACACATTGACACCTGAAATTGTCATAGACTCCCTTAGAAGTAAATAAATGGAAATTAGGGTTGAAAAACACGATAAGAGGAACAGTGAGGTACATATGATGCGGGGTAGAACTCAATTTAGGCAAAATAGTCATGATGGATATCAAACTAGTGGCGAGTCAAGTGGTAATGGATGGAAAAAGAAGAGCAAAGATAGGTTTAGATCAAAATCTAGGACTAAAGCAAGAAAATACTATGATTATGGAAACACGGGGCATTTTATAAAGGATTGTCATAAGGAGAAGGGTAAGCTAAAGGTTAAGGAGAGAGATGAGGTCAATGTGTTAGCATTTACTTCCGATATAAATGGTGGTGAGGTCTATACGATTACAAGTCCCGTTGTATATACTGCTGAATTAAATATAACTGCTAATTCCCGCATGCATGAGTGGATATTTGATTCTGGTGCATCTTTTCATGTGACGTCTGAAAAGAATTGGTTTTATAAATTGCATAAATCTAATGTTGGGCATGTTGTGCTGTGTGATAACTTTGCCTATATTGCTAGAACTGGTGACATAAACGTAAAATTTGACACATGTTTTGTGTACACGTTAAAGGATGTTAGATATATTCCTGAATTATATAGGAATCTGATTTCAGTAGGGAGACTTGAAAAGGATGACTTTACTTGTAAAATTGGAAATGGTATGCTAAAAATGATCAAGGGTGTTTTAGTTTCCATTAAGGGAATTAAGAAAAACAATATATATATTACTACTGGGGAAGTGATTAGAGGTTTGAACTCCTCTATCTCTTCTACCAAGATTGATCACACATACACATGACATAATAGACTTGCCCATGTAGTCATCAAGGGACTTAAACTACTTAATGAAAAAGGTTCTTTTGGTAATAACTGTGTATCAGATTTGTCATTTTGTGATCATAGTGTGCTTGGTAAGTATCATAAAACTTCTTTCTCCACGAGTGTTAATAGAGCTAAAGGCATACTTGAATATGTGTACTCTGATCTGTGGGGTCCTGCTAGTAATCCCACATCGGTTGGGAATAAGTATTTCCTGTCTATTATCGATGACTATACTAGGAAAGGGGTCTATCTATTGAAAGATAAATCTGAGAACTTTAATAGTTTTAACAATTGGAAGAGACAAGTGGAAAACCAAATTAGCAAGAAAATCAAAATTTTAAGGACAGATAACGGCCTAGAATTCTGCAATAAGGAATTTGATAGTATGTGTAAAGAAAGCGACATAACTAGACATAAGACCGTTCCTTACACTCCTCAACAAAATGGGGTAGTAGAAATGATGAATAGGACCATACTTGATAAAGTACGTTGCATGATGTTAAGTCCTGGTGTTCCCAAGTCATTTTGGGGTGAGGCTGTTATGACTGCTTGTTATTTGATTAACCTGACTCCTTCTGCTGCATTGAATGGTGACACTCTGTATGAGAGATGGTTGGGTAAACTGAGTGATTACTCGATGCTTAGAACTTTTGGCTGTACAGCTTTTTCTCATCAAAGTGAGGGAAAGTTGGAACCTAGAGTTAGGAAGTGTGTCTTTCTAGGATACCCCGAAGGTGTTAAGGGTTATAGGTTATGTGATAGAAGCTAAAAAGGGGTTAAGATCATCATAGGTAGGGATGTCACGTTTAACGAGAACGAGATGCCGTGTATTAAAGGGGAAACTGAGCCTGAGAATGAAACTGAACCAGGTGAAGAAAGAGACCTGTTTAAGGTGGAGTTAGGAAAGCTCAGTACACCTATCCCTATTGCTCCTAATGAGGTGGAGATTCAAGTTTAGAAACCTGAGGTGGAGAATAGTAACGAAGTAGTGATAGAAAAGCACTATGAGGAAGAAAATCTTTTAGCTAACTACAAATTAGTTAGGGATAGAGAGAGGAGACAAACTAGAGAACCTAGAAGGTTCAGTTTTGAATCTGAATTAGCTTTCGCCCAGGCTAGTTATGAAGAACTAGCAGATAAAGAGCCAAAAAACTTTAAAGAGGTAATAGGCAGTGATCAATCTAATGAATGACTTAAGGCAATGAAAAAAGAGATGAGTTCTCTAAAAAAGAATCATACTTGGGAGCTAGTACCTAAGCCTAAGAACAAATCGATTGTTGATTGCAAATGGGTCTTTAAGGTTAAGGAATGTACTGGTAGCTCGGAACCCTTAAAATTTAAAGCTAGGTTAGTAGCTAAAGGCTACACACAGAAGGAGGGAGTTGATTATAATGAGATTTTCTCACCAGTTGTTAAGTACACTACTATTAGAGTCATGCTCGCATTGGTTGCACACTTTGACTGGGAACTTGAACAACTTGATGTAAAAACTGCCTTTTTTACATGGTGAGTTTGATGTATAAATCTTCATGAATCAACCAAAATGTTTTAAGGACAAGTCAAAACTTGATTATGTGTGTTTTCTGAGAAGATCTTTGTATGAGTTAAAACAATCTCCTAGATAGTGGTACAAGAGGTTTGATTCCTTTGTACTCACTATAGGGTTTCAAAGAAGTAAATTTGATCACTGTTTGTATTTTCAACACAATGAGACTGATGTAATTATCTGTTTTTGTTGCTCTATGTGGACGACATGCTCTTGATTAGATCATCCTCTAAGTGGATAAATAATATAAAAGTAAAATTAAGTGATGAATTTGACATGAAAGACCTAGGTAAGGTTAAGAGAATCCTAGGTATGGAAATAGAAAGAGATATGTCAAATTCCGTTTTGTTTTTACATCAGTCTCCATACATATCCAAAGTATTGAAGAAATTTAATATGAGTGATTGCAAACCCGTCACGTTGCCTCTTGCTAATCATTTTGTTTTATCGAAGGAACAATCCCCTTACAATGAGCGTGAAGTAGAATATATGAGTAGAGTGTCTTACTCTAATGTGATTGGTTCCATAATGTATTTGATGGTTTGCATTAGACCGGATTCAGGTTTTGCTATTAGTACTCTCAGTAGATACATGGCTAATCTGGGCCCTGAACATTGGAAAGCGCTAAAGTGGCTATTAAAGTACTTGAAGGATACAAGTGACGTAGGTTTAAAGTTTAGTGCTAATAAAGAAGGTATAAAATTAAAGGGTTTTGTAGATGCTAATTACGCGGGAGATAGGGATGGTAGGAAATCCACTTCGTCTTATGTGTTTACCTTATCAATTCACGTATTAGTTGGAAATCACAGTTACAACATATTATTGCACTATCCACTACAGAATTAGAATATATTGCTAGCACTGAAACTATTAAAGAAGCTCTATGGCTTAGAGGCCTACTTCATGAACTATGTGTCTTGAATGATTATGTGGTAGTGTATTCTAATAGTCAATCATCTATACATTTGTGCAAGAACCCCATTTTTCACGAGCGCACTAAACACATTGATGTTAGACTCCACTTCATTAGAGATACAGTGTCTCAAGAGGTGGTAAGACTTGAAAAGGTCGACACCCACTCCAACCTTTCCAATATTGGGACGAAGATATTGCCACTGGCAAAGTTTAGAAATTGCAAGAAACTTTTAAACATTGGTACAGGTATATGATTTCCAATTTTATTGGTTTTCTATTAGAAGTGTCACTAATGGAAGACATTTTCTTTTGCAGGTCCTTTAACACCAATGTAGAGGTTCTTATGCAATTTGTTGTCAAACGACCTCTCGGGCAATGATGTGACCTCGATTTTATTTATTATCAATCGGCATTGGCCATATGATTGAATTATATGTCGACACTATCATCGAGACAACCCAACCTATATCTCTATGAACCGTTAGAAGCAACCTATTTTATTAGTGTTGCTCATGGTTCATCCCATTTAATTGGAGGGTTATGGTATTCATTTGGAGCCCATTACCTTGTGTTGAACCTTGTTTGGACCACTTAGTTTACCTAACCTAACTTACCATTTTTGGTCACTCATTTTGACTTATAACCTACGGCTCCTCCTACGCCTCCATTATGAAGAACACTCCATCTCTTTCTGTGACTTTGATTCTTGGCCTCTTTCTTTCATATAACATGTGTGGTTTCTCTTGGACTATACATTGTTCTTCATCTTGGCCGACTCTTTGTGAGTATATATATAGCAACCGAAGGTGGGAAGGAAGGAGGTGGAAGTTGGGTGTTGTCTCAATCGAGGTTGTGTCGATATATGGTAGAAACTGAGCCCGGTATCACCTTGATTATTACTTTAATTTCACCTTACAAGTGGCAGACGCTATAGCTATATGGACTGTATATGTTCCTCTCTTCCTCCTGATATTTTTTAAATCAAATGATACTTGCCATGTGGTTGCTTCAAACCTTGATGTACTATTTGTTCTCCTGCAAAATTAATTGGGATTTAATTTGCAAGATTTTTAATCTAAGAAGAAAAAGACCATCAAATTGTGTGTAAATACCTGTTGACATGAGCAAAGAACCAATCTTTTCTGTAATCACTGGTGCCAACAGTGTAAACTAAATCTTGATCAGGGTATAAATCTGTATATCGATCCCATAATCCATATTGTCTATACCTGAATTTAATAAAATATATTATTAAAAATCATCAAGAACTTGTTGAAATTAAACTCAACAACGGTGTTCATTTTATAGGGAGCTTACTTCTCCGTAGGGTTGATAAATAGATCGTTTTTGAACTCGGGTGCCGGATCAGGGACGTAGAACTCAGCAGGGGTACGATCAGGAATTCCAATTTCCCATAGGGTCGGACCATTTCTTGGAGGACTATATACAAGATTGCCTAGTTGAATTTGACTCCCTGTCCCAAAAATCAGATTTTGAGTTAAGGCCCCGTTTGGTAGGGATTTTTTGCCCCAAAAAATTGATTTTTTGACCGTTATTTTACTATTTAAGCCGTAATTTTTGACTTCTTCTCTCACATGTGGACCCCACTTTTCTTCTAACGGTCAAAAAATCAATTCTCAAAATCTCTACCAAACGAGGCCTAAATATGTTTGTTCTTTCTATCTATAAATTGAATGCAAGATTTTCTTAGAAAAACATTTTAAATGTAAAATTCTATAGGTACCGAGATTAAAACCTGATTCGATGAAAATATCATTTTCATATTTATGACCCATCCCTCCTGTGACCCAAGTATTCAAACTGTAAGTACCTCCTCGAACGCCTCTTATTGTGAAGTAACCATGCTCATCAGTTTGACTCCAAAATTGATAACCCTGATAATGATATTAATAAATAATAATTTAATATCTATGTGACAATCACATTCTTACGATAGATATTAAATTTTTACCAAATATAACCTTAGTTTCTGTTTGCCAAGATCCGACATCTCCAGGTGGAGCTAACCCAACATATGCTGATTTTGCAGGCATGAAATGTGGATTAAGATACCTGTCACGGACTAATAATCGACCCCTAACGGTACCCCGTTGATTGGCATGAGGGAAATCTTCTGAACTTGGAAAGTCGTAAGGCCATTTTTGGGTTTCTTCTTGCATCTGGTGGAGTACGGATTAACAAAGTTGATTTATGCGTGACTTGGTAGAACTTTATTGTACTTTGTGGCGCGAAAATTACCTGTTTTTTAGCATCTGCCCAACTTCTTGAGTTGAGATATATAAAAATTGGGCCAAAGACCTTTTTCCACGGCTCTCCATTTCGTAATCTAATCCCGAAATTCGAACCAGCATAATGACCACTAAAAAAAGGCTGCATATAGATGAAAGGAATTAGCGAATGAGAAAGTGTGACTTTAATTTTTAGGAATAAATCATTGATGTGAACCTGGATTTTCTAAAGAAGAAGATAAATTTTGTAAACAAAGTGATTTATACAAGATAATAAGATTTACTTACTGCTAAAGAAGTCGGGCCAGCATGAGATGTAAGATCATTTTTCACAGGGCCACCAGCACGAAACTCGTTGCTTGGTGTTATCACCCAAAACCCTATATGTGGATGGGAGCTAATCCACCCGTGCACCAAGCTATCCTTGTTGTCATATGAGAATTGATACTTGTCATCGACCTAATCAATAAAGTGTTGAAAAAAATGTAGGGAAATCTGAATACTTTAATGAACTCCAAGGCACGAAAAAACGTTATCTTTTAAGAGATGTTTCTCCCCTATTCAACAAAGTCACAATTGGGGTATAATAGAAAATCTCTCTCAGGATACAATGGAGACGTTTGATTCAAATTGTGACTATTTGATCAAACCAAGAAGACACTCGAAAATAACTGATTGATGCCAAAAGAAGGAAAGAAGAATAAATTGTTTAATGTGTTTTGCAAACGAGAATTCGTCTAGAATTTGTAGAAATTGAGGTAACCGTTTGAATAGGTGTGTCCCTTGAAATCCTTGCATACATCTACTGGAGGTGACTGTTAAAAAACGAATAGATGCACATATTCTAAGACTTCTGAAATAAAATTCTCTTTCGAGGGTGTTGCCCCCGAGCCCCCTTTACCCCTGAGACTTGACCGGGCAGGTCGATCCCCGTTGCGCAGCGGCAAACACTAGTCGGGGCGGCAAATCATTCGCAAAACAGAAATAAATACATGCAAAATGATGAAAAATATCTAACATAAAGTTCACCATACGTAAATCTTTAAATATAACGAGTGTAGTGCAGTTATAGTTATGCATATTATCTTCTATATTTTCACTGGCTTGATGCATCATTTAAGTTAAAAGAACATATAATGGATACCGAGAATATTAAGTTATGAGATCAATGGTTAGACACCTACCTTGCCTTTGAGGGCTGGATTGCTAGGATTTGTCAACAAAACGGCTTCTTTATAATCAAGAACTAGACCTTCCATACGATCATAGGCTGTTGGCATAGGTGTTTGTATGCTGTCTGATACGGCCATGTAATGGAACCTACATATACAAAATAGTTAAATTATATATGCAAGTTTTCTTCACAAATGACTGAACATTTAACGAATTGTAAAGTTACTAATTCTCGAATCTTACATTTCTTGGTGGAGGTTAAAAGCAATCCTTGCTTCATCAACATTTAAATCAGGCCATCCCTCTAAATGTTCCATTATTGCATATGAATAGAAACCAGAAACACCACGCAACATTATAAACCTGTAAAAAAAATCTTTTTTAGTAGGCAAATTCTAGTGTGATTTACGAGATTATATGCTTTATTTATTATTAAATTAAAGTCTACCTTGTGTCGACATTCAAGGGAAAAGAGTAGCTAAGAGAGGAATTCCAAGTTGTCATGAATGAAACTTCTATCATATCTTCTGTTTCTTCAATAACCCTGAAACTGGTTCCTTGGATCCTGCATAATTTTATTGATAGTAGACATGATGAAACATATAAATATAATTTCATATAGCATTTTCGATTACATAAATAAATTCATTTGAATCACTATCAGTAAAAGGGGATTTTATAAATTGTTCTGCGATTCATGATGAATATATTTCCAATGAATATATGTTTTTGACAGCTTTACCTGAACAGTTTCGTATTAATTTCCAAAGCAACTCAGCCTCTTCTTGATTCTTTAAAATGATACTCAAGTACATTCTTGGTTTGTTTGTATTGTATTCCTGCGATGTAACCACTTGGAGATAGTAATGTCAGTTTAACAATGCCATTGTCCAACATCACCAAAACATAATTCTACCCCACACTTGTTGGGTCTGACTCAAATTAGTAAGATTAAAAGCAGACGGACCAAATTGCATTAGGATTTACTTTTAGAAACCAACGAGCAATTAATGAACAAGTAATAGCACCTAGCATATGGCATGAAAAAGGAAAAACATTAAGTTGAATAGGACTCCTAATGCAATTAGGAAAAAGTTAGTCAATGCAATTAGAGGAGCTAAGAACCGGACGTTCTGCAACCTAGAGATCACCAGGCAGCTCTTTTGCCCTATGGGGATCGGAGGCATAGCAAAATTCTTCTTGGAGGAGAATTGTTTGCTTGGGCGACTGGTCGTGCCATTAACGTACTCCTACCTATTCATCGGTAACCGTAGTTACATACGAAATCTTCATGCGTGAGGGAGGAAAGAAAGGGAAATAGATGATAATAAGAAAATGCACGGCATCTAGACAAGTGGGAAGAATGGATGAGCAAAAGGTGTCATTCCATGCAGTAGAGAATATCTTCAGTCTCATGTAAGACATTCAAATGTACCTTGAGGTAATAGATGCCCCGCCTTGTTTAACTTTAAAAAAAAAAAAAAGGAAAAAAAGGAAAAGAAAGAAAGAGATTCAATATTTTAAATGAAAAACTCCATGAATTTTCATTAATTTTAATAGAAGATTGTAATTCAGTTTATCTAAGGAATATGATAAACAATAAAAACATTAATTTACCAAATATATTTCCATAATTTAACTTTTAAAAATAAATAAATACATTTAAAAAATTAATAACTATATTTTTGCCTCACTTTAATAAATGGGGACAATAAAATGAATTAAAATAAAATAAATTAAACGGGGCAAGGGCTCCGCCCCACTTTAAACTAGTAACGTGGTAGGGCACCCAAACCCACCCCCATTGTCACACCGGGCTTGTCTAGTGAGGTTTACCTAATTAGCGTGATTTGCACGCTATTGGATCAGTTCGAGAGCTTACTCAATACGCACCCAAAGGGTAACGATTGCGAGTTCCCCCGTCATAAAAAATAATAAAAAATGCTCATACAGTCAAGGTGTAATTTGTGAGAGGGAAAAGGAAGAAAAATATATACACATTGTTCGTTTGAGTGTTCTAACTTTGTGTACTGAGAAGTTGAAAGAATGAAAAAAATTATTGTATTATGAGGTTTTATCAATTAATAAAATCTTATTCTCATGTAGTTGTCAGCAATTTGTAAAATCACGTAAATTTTGTGTTTGCTCTATCTAGCTCAATTTTCAGTTTTCATTTCCGTTGATTTTTCCCGATACCATTTGTGTTTATCTCCCAAGTGTACATAAATTTTTTGTAATCACATTTAGAATTTAGTAGCTCTTATCTAGTTATCTTTTCTTAAAGCAACATATTAGTTGAAAGTAGGTCTCACAATATTTTTTTATATATATATATCCTCAAACTCTTTACAATGATTACAACATAAAGTATTTCGAAAAAAAAAAAAAAAATCAGAGAGTATTTTATGCGGGTAATTTAGGCTTACACGATCCTCCCATTTATGGAGTTCGAGTGGAGAAGACGATCTCTGTTCTTCATCACCCTTTTGTGGAATCCATCTGGAAAATTAATTATTAATTACAAGTCAGCAGTTGATAAAGAAAGAAAAAGGAAATCAACTACTAGAATAATATGAACTCATAGAGAATTGCATTATCTGTGGATTTATTTAAATACTTATTCAAATTTAAATGTGATTATAAAAATCAAAGCTTTTTAATTCTGTGAATTTCCTTAGTAGGTAGAGAAATTAACTTCCATATGTCATTCATATATGCCTAAAGTGGTATGGAGAATGCCATTTGTACATAAATTTTTCCACGGAGTTTGGTCAGATTACTCTTATGTGTGGGACCTACCGTGAATAAAAAATTGTCAAAAAATACCCCCACCCACCCCTCTATGTGTGTATTCTGGCAGGCTTCAGCTTCTATATGAAGCCTGCCTGTACACACAACAGGTTTGTTCAACTGTAAATGATGTCAGTTGACACTGCTAAATCAATACTTGATGACTTTGAAAATTAATTGTAATTAAAAACGTTAATCATGTTACATAGATGTTTTTAGTATCAAATTGAAACGTTTTTCAGGTTTTTATACATACAGGAATACTTTAAAGAATGGCTGTGATTATTTACATATTACTATGCCAAGCATCAAAATTAACTCAACAATATCAGGAATCTAATTTAATAATTTAGTGCAAAGTTTATGATTATTAAGAGGAAAATAAAAATAAAAAAATAAAAAGAGGAAACAAGAGATGGTTTTGTAATAAGCAAACCTGGTAGAGGTGTTGTGATGAAATGCAGAAGGGATTAGAGTTTATGGTGAAATGGGACCGTCGCAAGGCAAAATAATATTTTTTTGATTTCATGATAACTTCGAATTGGTTCGTTTTTTGCGAATTGCTAGTCTAATTCGATTCAATGAATAAAACTCAGTGTTGGCTCTGACGCAAGGCCAATTTCGGGCAAAATCTATCGTTTAGACCCTCGTTTAAGCGTTTTTGCTATTTATGATAATTTTTATTTTTGCAATATCTTTTTCCATAAAATTCGGATTTATATTCCGTTTGTTAGAAGATGATCCTGAAGATAAGGATTTTTCATCATAGTAGTTATCTCATATTTTTCTATTTTTGGAAAAATATCTTTTTATTTTATATTTCAAATTTCGCTAGGTTTTTTTTCTATTTAAAACGTTGTAAACCCTTTGAGACGACAGTTTTTGAATTCAATAAAATTTTCTTTAAGAGTTTTCTCATTTTGTGATTGTTCATCTTCCCTATAATCTTCCGCTATGTCATGTTGGCAGCAGAATCAACATGCAAGAACAATGAAAAAGCCATTGCAAGATATCCTAAAACCAAAAACCTTTGTCTCCCCTCCATTTTCACAACAACAAATGAAACTGCTCACCAACAATGTCTCAGATTATAAAACAAATTGAATAAAAAAGATTAATGTACGAGGAAAATATCTGTACGCTGAACGCACTTGTGGACTCAGCAAATACAGAATCTTGCACAGACGTAATAACATAAAATAGAAAGAAATACCTGGAAGAAGAAAGTGTGGCTGATCGAGCAGTTGGTATCAGTAGTTATATACTGTTGTGTTTCAACTAATTTCTTAAACGATATTGATGAAACAGTAGTTGTAAACGTTTAGAAGTTTAAGGTCGTAGTATTTATATTTAAGTCCATGTTTAGAACCATTTTTTTTTTAAATTCATTTTTTCAAATTCATTTTCAACCACACATTTCAATTTTTATCAAAATCTACTAAAAATCTTATTTTTAACTAAGGTTGCATTTGATTGCAATCATGGAATTAGCATGGAAAAAAATAAATTGTTGGTAATTCAATTGTCTAGAATTTATTTGCATAGAAATTATCAATAAAATGTATTTGATTGATTTATTTTTCAACCTAGAAAATATTATATTTGTCCGTTTTTTATTGATGGGTAGATGAGAGAGGGAAAGAGAGGGTGAATTCCTCGGAAAACAAAATTTTACTCACCCTAAAGAAAATATTTTCTTGATTTTGAGAAAAATATGGTCACGTAACCAAAAAGTGGAAAATATTTTCCATCGAAAAAAAATGACAATCAAACGGCACAAAATAGGAATTTGGATGGAAAGAACACATTTTTCATACAAAATATTGACAATCAAACGCAACCTAAACGATATGGGGGATAAATATCAATTAGTTCTAGTTCAACAACTATAAAAATTGTGCCTTGTAATCCTATGAAATGGGGGATAAATATTATGAGTTCGAATCTTGGGGGACGCGACAGAAAGTCGTGAGGGGTAAGTGGGCGCAAAGCCCACCCAAAGCGGACAGTATGTAATCTAACGACTTGGGTACAGATTATTGAAGAATTAAATAAGTTGGGCTTATCCAAAGATTTGATGCTAGGGGTGCAACCAAGGATTACGATGAACGAAAGAGGAGGTTGACAGCACAAGACTCTAAACGCAGGTTGACATTACGAGGATGTGAACGTTCTAGGGAAAGGAAAAATAAAAAATAAAAAAAATATAGAAGTCAAGCATAAGGATATGATAAGAGACTTGTACAGAATCGTTAGAATGTGAAAGAATTCTAGAGGTTCATCACTTGGGATATGATGAATTTTTCATGGTTCATTCAAAGGAGGCTTAGGTTTATGAAGACTTATTTGTAAATAATCATATCCAAGTATAGAGAGCTAGAAAATTGCACACACTCGCAAAGAATAAGGTTATGAATAATGTCCCTTATTCACCGAGCCTTACACTCCCCTCACATGAGGGGAGAGGCTCACGCCCATTTAATGCGCGGACCCCACGCCCCATGTAAAGGGGCTGTACATCAAGCTGTAAGGCTCGGGGTACATGTAGCAGGGCCGTAAGGTTATTGCTAGCTTGGTAATTTGTTGATGTTTGTCTATATTCATTGGAAAGTAGGTTTAAATTCAAAATTATATATAGATAATAAGAGAAACTTCCTTTGTACAGAATGGTGGCCACAGAACTCCACCAAATCACTCACATGGTGGGCCCCATGTGGATGATAAAATAATGTCAAAAAATCACCCATCCACGCTATTTTGTGTGTTATCTAACCAACTTCTGTAGAAAGAGCTTCTGTACATGCAGCTTCTCTCAGATAATAAAGGCTTTACGGCCATTCCATTTTGAACAAATTATATCAGTTGGAAACTTGCACGGTTTGACTTATTCAATGGGTTTGGATTCAGCAATGATCCTAATCTCTTTATATTGTTTGTCGTCAATTCTATTCCTGTGTCGATTGCCTGTTATCAAGCAGGAATGAATAAAAATCCAACTTCTTTTTCTCAATTTATTGTATAATAAATATATCTACGGAACAAACAATAAAATCATAGAGTCACGCTCTTTTGCTTGACTTGTCGATTCCTCCCCATCAATATTTATTGTGAGTAAGAAGCTTCTCGTCCTCATTCTTAGCATTTGTTTGGGTTCCATTTTTTAACGATAATTATAATTCACTTAATTTGGTACCCCTGAACAGTGTCATTCAGTAATTACGTGTATCAAATTGGTTGGAGGAATGGAGTTAACATAAATCAAAATGACAAAAGTATCCAAAATGCGATCATATGAATTCATTTTAACCACATATTTGATTGATCTAACAACTTTTCAACCACACATTTCATCAATTTCTATCAAAATCTACTAAAAATCTGATTTTAATCCCCACCAAATATAGGTTAAGAGTCAAATTGGAACTATGTCAGATTGAAGAAAGAGAAAAATTTACCTGAAGTTATTTCAATAGTGTAATTACAGGAACCCAAGGTACACTTTGCATTCTTTCAATAATCGACTTGTCCACTTCTGTCAGGTGTAAATTTTCACTACAAATAGAACTTATTGTGTACATCAACAATATGTGCAACAACCTGTTCTCATCAGTTTAATATCATACATGCATCATCGATCCACGCGATATATGTTAACACTGTAGCATTAAGCAAAGAACAGGTTGCAGAAAAGATGAAATTTGCCTCTTATCTTAAAATTGTAATTCATTCTGCTGAGCTTGAAAGCTTTGAAGATCCCTATGTTTCCAAAAGGAAAACCAAAAACACGAGCGTTTCAATGCTTATAAAACACAATATCACGGCTACAACTTACCTTGATAGCTTCTTCCAAACTTTGTACCCGATCAAAATCAACTTTGAAAGTGACCATTGTAACATTGTCTTTTCCAGTATCATAGTCCTGCTTGATGTCCTCGACTTGAAAAGATTGTAGCTGCAAGTCAACAAGTATAAGATGGAGTTATGTAACCATTCTTCTTAACTAAGAAGGAATAAAATATTTAAAAAAAACAAAAACAAAAACAAAAAAAACAAAAACAAAAAAAATCTAAGAAGCAATAAGTTCAATTTATAAAAGATGTTACTGAAATAACCTAGGTCACAGATTATGATTCAAATGTTCCGACTAGGATAGGTCGCTCTAAGGAAACCAAGAAATTTCTAAATCTCAGTCTTTGAATGTCAAGATTGCGCTAGGATAGGCTAAATCATGCTCGTGGTTCTATTAATTCTACAAATTAGATTCTATCTTGTTCATCACAACAAATTCCTTATCTTATTAAATTTATTAGAACTTAAAAAGGCATTTCATTCCCATTGAACATTAGGCTTAATTACATTAAAAGTAACTGTTTATGGTTTCAAAATCTAAAGATTAGTCCCTCAATTATTTGATCTAAACTGCAACCATTACATATTCCTTCCAGTTACATAAAAAATCTCCCCTTCAAGACTCGAAGGAAATAAGTCCAAAATGTCCTTCAATGAAAAAACAAGTAAGATGGTACACACCATGCTGATAGTGTATCAGATAAGAAAAAACAGAACATTGACACTAATATGGGAGAATATCAACGCAGCAGATCAATCAGAGTGGGATATATAGAAGGGAAGTAGACAAAGTTTGATTAATTTGAGAAATAGATAGGCAGCATTATCTTTTCGTCTTTGCTTATTATATCTGGATGGAAAAATTAAACATTTTTGTCACTTGGTCAAACCAAAAGGGCATTTCAGTTTTTCTTTTGACTAGTATGAAGCCTAAAGATGTCAAAATGAGAATTGTCGAAAGAGTAGCTAGCAAAAATTATAATTAGAAATAATATAAAGTTAAGTAATTTCAACAATTTGAATCTTACTTGATGGTAGAGTACTCCCAAAAGATCAAATGAAACCTCCAAGCCCATAGGAACCTACAACAGAATCATGCTTGATTTATGCACCCATAAGCATGCTTTCAGTGAGGTAGCGTGAAAGCAAATACAAGCATAAAGTGATTTAAATGCAATTATTGGATTTTTAAGGAGCTAAATAGAAATAGAATGCAAAAGTACAATCAATTTACTTTTGATTTTACAAGGCATGTCGGGGCATTCCTCAAACATTCGGCAGCTACTCCTCCATATGCTCTAACTAATCCTCCAGTGCCAAGTTTGATTCCTCCAAAATACCTAAACCAAATAGAGGAAACATATAAAGTGAAGCATGAAGCAAATATTTGCAGACCTTTGGTCAGCTAAAATGACATTCTGAAGTTTTGAGCAAGAGACAACAATGAAGGATTATCAACTATAAAAGGAGTAGAAGTACAGCCACTAGCAAAACAGGCAACTGCAGTTTCCAGATCATCTTTAAAATATGTTAATCAATAAAAGAATTTAATAACTTACACCATCTTTCCTCAATTGAAATACTGGGGCCTGTACCTGATAATGACAACCATAACTCTATCTATGCCAGAAGAGACAATTGCAGAATGTATTGGCTTGCCAGCTGTACCAGATGGTTCACCGTCATCATTACTCCGATATTGATCTCCAACCTAGAATTAAGAACCAATTAAGTTTGTGGCATTAGATAAAGAAAGACTATGATATTAGGTTTTACAAACACACGCCCATACACTCAGCAAGATTCCCATCTATTGACAGTGATTTCAGATCTCAAAGAACAAAATGTGATATGATGAGATAAACCAAAAAAGGAAACAGATATGGTCGCACTTACTCATCCCTACAATTTTATTTATTTATTTATTTCTTTTTTATAGGACTCATCCTTACAATTAATTGTTATAGGTACAAGTTAAAAAAATTTTGTTGCGTAAACCTGTGAAGGATTATATGCGCACTGAGTATAGTTGAAAGCAATATATTCATATGAAGTGAGAAGGCCACATACGAATTAAAACGCGAGACAAAGACTCAGACAAAAATATAACTAATTTGTATAAGAGAAATCAGTCTTCCCATTGAACACTTTGCACTAAATGATGCCTGAATATCTTTCTGACCTGATAAGAGTGTAAAATACCATATTTTCCCCTCTTAACTATTGCATTCATGTGATTATATTATGACAAAATGCACTCATTACTCTTATATTTTAGTTTAGGTTGCATTTTGGTGAAAAAGATAAAATTCGGAAGAAACAAGTGAAAAATGACCAAAGTAGAAGAGAACGAAAGTTCGAGGACTAAAGTGCAAATGATTCAAACTTGTGTCCAAGATTATGATGAAGATTTGAAAGTGTTAGAGGTCAAGTGGATGAGGAACGAAGTCAAAGGAATGAAATAACATCAAATTTTGATCAATACATCAATTTCCAATCGAAAACCAACACACCAGTTTTTAGTCTCATGTTGGGACCCATTTTTTGACATGGAAGATGATCGAATTGGGAGATGACTTCTGAATAAAAATTGTGACCTTTTGAGTTAGCTATCCAATGCAACTTGAATCACCTCAATTGGACATCGGGAAAGAAAGTTATGATTAAAACACTGAAAGCTGTCTGGCGGAACCATGCGGCCGCATGCCTTTCTAC